TAACCAAAACATATTTTAGAAGGACACTAAAAATTATATTGCTCATGCTCTTAGAAGGGTTTAGTTTAAGCATTTCTTTTCTGCAACCTGAGCATCTGGTATTTTCAAATTAGGCACCTTCTAAATTTGACTCATACATTATGGAAATCTGATGACACAAGGGGTGGATAGGCTTGCTTTGATTTTATGAAATATTAATCATTGCTGTGATTAATGATTCAGCATTCCACATCTGGGTTATTCCTGTCATATTTGAAAATTACACTATTAAATACAGTATGTAAACTTAGTGTAGGTGGGGTCATACTAATTCTGTAGTGTCCCTTAAAAATTAAGTAGAAACTTAACAATATACCAGAAGCTACCAGTGATAATCTGTGATGTTGACAGTTCTTGGCATATTTTATACCCTCAAGGATTTTTTGATGTAAATTAGTATACATCTCTTCAGGGAGTTGAAGCTATAGAATCTGCTTTCCAGAGAACTGTTGTCTCTAACTAACCAAGGTGGAATCTCAAGAGTGGTTTTATTATGCAGAAGAGAAAGAATAAATAGAAATGGTGCATCAATTATATTGTTTAGATTATTTGACTCTTGAAAGCCATACCTCACCCCTGCTGTCATTCTTGACCATTACAGTAGGTCAGGCACTGTGCTATGTACTTTACATATATTTTTCTATTTAAGGAAGTGTATGGAGTGGCTTAATGAGAATTATGTAATTTGATGGGTTATAACCATTAAATTTTTTTTTTCCTTTTTGTCTTTTTTCGTGTCCGGCAACGGATCGCAACCCTCGGTGTCGCGCCCGCACCTCGCTCAGCCAGTGAGCGGGTCTGTATGTGGGATCCGAACCCTCGGCGGGAGCGCCGCCGCACTCCCAAGCGGCGCACTGTAGCAGTGCGCCACCGGGCCGGCCCTATAACCATTAAATTTTAAGCATTTGGCTTAAATGAATAGAATTTACCATGTTTAAAATTTGACATGTATTTTCATGGG